GTACAGATGCTTTTCATGAGAGTGGCATAGGGTGGTGACTATGCTGAAAAACAGTGAGAATTTCCCTTATCAAAATAGTGTTATCATGCTCTTTGTATATGTTGTAGTTTCCATGGAAATAAATAGGAGGCATTACTTTCACCTACATATATTTAAAAAACAAACACTTCTGTTTCACTGAGAAGACAAGAAGCTAGAAAGCACATCCTGGCAACTACAGCCAGCTGTTCTTTCTAGAAAGCTGCAGCTGTTCACAGACAACATGAGAAGCACTGAGGAATTCACCTAGGAAATACATTTCTTTGCAGTGACAAAAGATAACATCACCAGATCTTAGAAACCAAACATATTAAGAAATAGATGTATCAGCTGACAGACCTCAACTGGATGAAGTCGTTCCTCTTCTAAACTGTGAGAAGTTATTGCTCAGAAAGTGATGTGAAACAAAGCCAAGTTACACACAGTAATGCGAAGTCTATATACATTGGTGGTGCAAAACCACTTTAACACTGACAAACATAACCTCAAGTAAGTTATGTAGATGTAAACATTCCTTTACGTACCGATACGCTGATTTTCTGTAGCAGCAGTCAGAAGACACCTTTTCCTCTTTTCACCCTTGCCATCAAGCATGCAACCTTTGTGTTATGCTACTAGCACATCTTCAGAAAGCAAATACAGTGAAAACGAGTACAGCAGAGGAGTGGCTGCAATTCCTCAGGGTGGGAGGAAATGCAGTAGAAACAAAAAGCTGCGATTACTTGAATGCTTGTATCAATAACTACGTTTCTCTTATTTGGGTGTCCTCAAATGCTTGTTTCAAAGCCACAGTGTGCCATCTAGTGCTCCACTGACCACCTGGAGACCATACCATGCGACACGCTGAGAGCAAACAACCAAAACCACAGCAGAACTATGGAAGAGAGCTGTCTAAAAACATGCTTGTTTAAAAACAAAACCAAAACACCCAAATAATACAGTTTGATACAGAGAAATCAACAGGGTCTATACTAACCTGGTTTTAGTCTATTCTTGTTCAATATAATAGCTCACTCTCTGTAGTAAATTTCAGTGATTGCCCATTGCAGTTGAATAAAGCTTGTTTTTTCTCTCCTTGTTGCTTAACTTAACAAGTTAATAAAACTTACACCCTGGACCTAAGAGTTAAAGACTCACAACTCTCACATAATTGTTTTAAAAGCAACTTAAACTGCTGCATTAAACCAGTGATGCAAATGCTTGTGGAACCTTCACAACTGAGTTAAATGGTTTTGATTTATCTGAACTGTCTCTGAGATGTGGCTGCATTTTGTATTCACGTATCCTCAAACCGTAGCAACCTTATCTAGAAGCAGATCTCATCTATCACAACTTGCTGTCCAAAAGGGATAAGTAGACAAATCCTTCATGGATTCTCAATCCAGACAACATTCACTCTGCACAATCCATGCAACACTGAACCACAGCTTTCCTACAACACGAGCCTGCTCACTCCTGCTATACACAGAGGGCTTTGAAAACCCAATTGAATTCTTTTTCCCATTTTTTTTTTTAATGCTGGCATTCCACTTCATTTCATACTCCATTGGCCCTCTCATTTTCCAAGCTGAACACCCTTCAGTCTTCTTTCTCAGATTTTCCACATCACAGATTACATATTCACTGAATCTGAGTGTTGAGGGGTTTCTCTTCAAGATTGTCTTCAACTGGTTCCTATCTTTCGTTGAGATACAGTGCCCAAGAGCAGATACACTTCAATGAAGTCATTTTCCATGCTCAGTAAGATTATTTGTATACTATAGATGATGCTAATCCCGTTTAAATGTATCAAAATGACAAATGGGTTTTATTTCTTTGCAATATGTTATCTTTTCATTACTAAGGATATAATCACAGCAAATATGTCATAACATCACACAGAAATTAGCACTCTTTCCATAGGCACAGAACAGCAGGCTTCCACAGGCCTAATCCAATCCACAAATGTCTGCTCCCAAAAGCAGAGCCACCTCCTTCTACCACATACCCAGAATTTCTCGTGTTGCACCCAGGACCCTCTGTAACACCACAGCTGTTCTTTACACTTATCTGTGCAGACCAAAACAATCCTGCACTAAAATACACTGGGACAATTTCCAAACAAAAGTTGGGAACTTTGGAACTTGTAGTTTTGTTTTAATTGAAACAGAATTTGGTCTGAACAGCATTTTTCCCTTAGAAGTTCTAACGAAAAGAAAACATTCATGATTGCAATACTCCATTGTACAGCAGTCCTTTAATGCAGGTATCAAAACCCACAATTTCACAGTACAAAGGTTTTTGCATCTCTTCTGTTTCGAGGTTTTCTGCCCCACTGCTCACATCACAGTCCATGGCTAACAAGCTCACATGTATGGGGGGCAAGCGTGAGAGGGAGGACGGCATGCATGACAATGAGCAGGAGAGTCCTAATTTTGGAACACTCCAGGGAAACCAGAGGACTCGAGTATATTTTTTAACAGGATTCATTTCTTTATTCCATTTACAGTGTAGAACTCTCATGGGATGTGTAAAGAAGTAACAAAGGGAAAGCAGAAGTTATTTCAGCATTTTCAAGAATTCACATAATGGTATTGATAGAATCAGTTTCCAGAGAAGGTGCAAATGAATACTCATTAACGAATCCCAATGCAAATAAAAAGTTTCTTGCAGCAGGAAAAACCTCAGTACAGTGTTACAGTATCTGAACCTACCATCACGTTATAGCCTTCTTCTGCATCAGCAGGCTCATTCATTGCATTTTTGGACGACCCCATTGAGCTTTCATACCTGCGTCAAAACAAACACAGTCAGTTTTAGCTTCCCAGCAACATTTATGACAAGGACATCTGATGAACGTGGTAATGTTCTCACAGGACAGTTATATTTGTAAAGTGCTTAATTGGCTCCACATTAAAAGCAGCTCAAGAAGAAAATCAGAAGAGGCTGACACTATAGAAAAAAAACAAAAACAAACAACCTAAAAGTGGAAGAGACCCTTAAAGGCCATCAGTGCAACCCCTGCAGTGCACAGGGACACACACAGCACATCAGAGCCCCCAGCCTGACCTTGCTGTCTGCAGGGACGCGGCACCACTGCCTCTCTGGGCAGCCCTTAGTGTACAAAACTTCTTCCTAACATACAATCTGAATCACCCCTCTTCTAGTTTGAAACCATTTCCCCTTGTGCTGCCACAACCGATCCTGCTGGTGTCCATATCCTTCCTTCTCACAACCCAGCTCCTACAGGCACTGAAGGCTGCTCTCAGCTTTCCCCACAGCCTTCTCCCCTTGGTGCTGCACAGCCCAGCTCTCAGCCTGTCCTCACAGGGAGGTGCTCCAATGATGAGTGTACAACGAGCAAAGTTCACCCAAAGGAGCGCATTTTGACACGTATTACAGCAGCAAACGGTACAAAGCACATTGCTCTGGAACAGGGGAAGGCACCAACAGCAAGGTTTCTTCTGACAGTACCGGGCAAATTCGTCAAAACCAATCAGAGGTGCTGAAAATCTCTGTGGGATAATTAGTTAGGTCACTAAAAAAACCCAAACGGGTTCATGCAGAAGACAGCTATAATAAAATACACGTTTTTCATCAAGTACTGGACTGGGGACCCGCAGCCAAAAGCGGAGAAATACGTGGGGTTAAATATTTATAGGTTCACCGAAATCTTTCAGCGTTACTGCAGCCACGCAGGAGTAAAACGAAACGCGTGGTTTCAGGGCTGAAGCAGCCGGCAGCACTCAGAGCCGCCTCACACACAGCCGGGCGCACAACGCCGGGGAGCCTCGCAGCCCGGACGGAACGCGGAACGGGCTGACTGACACCCGGCACGGGCTTCCCGGTTGCCACGGCAACCAAGCTCCCGGCCCCGCTCAGCACTCGGCCGCCGGGGCAGGCCGCGGGCCCGGCTCGGCGGCTATGAGCAGCGCCCGGGGCCCGGCGCCGCGGGGCGTGAGGGGAGGGCTGGCCCGCCGCCATCTTGCCTCGCCACAGCGCCCCGCGCCGCCCGCCGCCGCCGCGCCCCTCCCCCGCGCCGAGGGGCACTCACGCTCTCCGTCGCGCCGCTCCGTCCCGCCCGCGCGCGTCCCGCCGCGGTGATGTCATCGCATCCCGCCGCCAGCGCCCGTCCGCCTGCCGCTGCGCACCGCGCCCGCCCCCCCCCCCCAGTCGCGCATGCGCCGCCCGCACCGGTGAAGGCATTGCCCTCACCTTGCCCACCCGCGGCGCGCTCTAGCCGCCGTTCGTGCACCTGCCGCACCGCCCGCCGCCGGGGGGCGCTGCTGAGCCCTGAGGCGCGTTGCGGGGCGCGGCGCCCCGTTCCGTGCGGTGAAAGGCTGGGCGGGCGGCTCCGTGCTGCCTCGGAACGAGAGCGGGTGCGGGGATCGTTCCTCGTCCTTCGGACACTGACACAAAAATAGGTCTGCCGTGTCTGCATAGCCTGAAACGCCGCAGGGCGATCTGTGCCGGGACTTGTGACAGAAACACACTCTTCTCTCAGGGAGAAGCATCAAACCCAACGGCAGCCCTAGGCAAACCTCAATTAACCACTACCGGTGATGAACCGGACCTGTGCGGGCGCATGACCGGGCACGTTTTCGGCTCTCCCGGGCGGCAGACGAAGCCCCGCTCTCTTTGCAGCCCGTTTTTCCCCCACGTCTCCGTTCAGCCGTACCGCCGCACCTCGCCCGCTCGCTCGGCAGCGCTGTTTGGGAGCCCCGTCCCGCACGGCACGGCACGGCTCTGCTCTGCTCTGCTGTAGCGAGACGCTCCATTCCAGCCACAGACGCCTGAAATCCCCCGCCATCCGAAGCGGACTCCCGGACTCCCGGCACGGCACAACGGAAGCGCCGGACACGAGGGGGAGCACGCGGTCCTGCCGGCCCGAGCCGCGCGCAGGCGGCGTTGCGGACCCCCGCCGCGCCCCTTTCCCTTTTCCTTTCCCCGCCCCTCAGCGCGCTCCCCTCCTCGGCGGCGCGATGCGGCGGCGGCCGCTGCTGGCGCTGGGCCTGGCCGCGGTCCTGGCGACGCTGGACGCGGCGTACGGGCAGCACCGAGCAGATTACGACCGGGAGGCGTTGCTAGGAGGGCAGGTGGGCGGCGGGGCCGGGGGTCGAACCGAGCGATCCGGGAGGCGGTTTTGATGCGCGGTTCCTCTCCCGCAGGAGGAGGCGGAGGAGTACGCGCGGCTCAGCCCGGAAGAGCAGCAGAGGCGGCTGAAGGCCATCGTGCGGAGGATCGACGCGGATAACGACGGCCTGCTCAGCAAGGGTAACGGCGGAGCGACCGGGCGGGTCCGGGCTTTGTGCGCATCGCGGGGCCTGGGAGCGGCGGCGGCTCCTCCGGGGATCGTCCGCTAAAAAGAATGTCCCGAGAGAGACGTCGTGCCGGAACGTGCCACAGATGGCAGAACGTGGCTTTTGTACACGGCACGACTCCGCACCGAGAGCGGCTGGCACAGATCCGAACCCAGAGCCGCGCTGTGACACCGCCGTAGCGCGGGGCAGCAAAGCGCCTCGCTGCGGGGAGAAGCCATGGCGTGAGATGAGGGCAGCATCGCGCAGATGCCTTCCGAAAGGAGACCTGGGGCTGCTGGTCTCCGTCACGCGCAGCAGGAAGGGCTCTGATGTTGTGAAGTGTATCAGTGCCGTCAGTACGCTGCCCTGATGAAATGCATGGCACCTGGTGCTGAGGCTGATGAAAACTTGCTTTCCCCTCCCTTCCCGAAGTCCCAGGGGAATGCCTTTTTACACCGAGAAGCACAGGGGGATGGAGCTTTCCCAGCTGTTCCCAGCATTAGGCACTCCTTGAGATCTTTCTGCTTATCGGCACACTTCGTTTGCAGGCAGACAGAGAAGATGTAAGCCCAGGAGCTTTGACCTGATGACCTTATGGGTCCCTTCCAACATGGGGTATTCCATGATTCAATAATCAGCAGTATGTCTGATGAACGGCACTGGACTCGGTGCTTAAAGCTGGGAAATAACTACCTGCCCTATCAGTAATGCCGCCGTCTGTGATAAATTGCATTGCAGTTTCTCCGTTAGGTCTTGTAGGCAGCGGTGGTTTTGTGCACTTGGCGTCTGTGCCTCCCTGTGTTTAATCAATTCAGACAATCTTTTACAAAGTTGTTTCCTTTGGTGCCACACATTTAGTATGCAGAATATAGTTGAAAAATCTCTTGTTGCTGTACGAAGATGCTTAAATAAACCTAATAAAGATGTATTGGCACTCCAACATGGGAGGACACAGTAATACACTCCAGCCATCTCCTTCTGGGCACCTGAAAATAGCTGCTTGAGACCAAGAAAATACCTTCTTCCAATCTTCATACAATCAAGAACTTGAATGTATTAGTGTGAAACTATCTGTATGCTAAGCTTAACTTGTTTTAGCCACGTTTCTATAAAATCAAGTAGCTTCAAAGTGTTCCCAAAATATGTAAGGTTTGATTCCAGCTCCTAGTAAGAGAAAAATCCTTGTTCATGTTTTTGGGTCAAGCTGACCTAACTCCAGCAACCATCAAAAGGGGCAGGACCGTGTTGTTCAGGCCCAGTGAGCCTGAAGTCAGGGCACTTGCTCGGTTGAAAACAAAGAACCTTCCTTATAGGATAAGTTTTAGTGATGCGTGCACTCTCAAATCATTTCTTGCTGCCGCTTCCCGTGTGTGTCAGATGGGTGCATCAAACTTTCTCTGGCAGCACCAGCATAATCCAATGTGAAGTAACCATGTCATTGGCCTCTGTGGGTATCAGCAGGGAAACAGTCCTACAGAAGAAGCTGAAAGGGGTAGCTGTGATCTGTTCTCTCACTCAGTTAACTCAAAAAAAGGCATAGCCCAGAGGAAGCAGGTTGTTTTGTTTTCACCAGTCTCTTGCCTTGCATCTGAACTGTAAAGTGCATTCCAGACCAGGTAGACCTGCGTTATCTTTGCATGTTTTGTAAGATAGGTTATTCTGATTTTTTGTTCATTCTAATGGTTTTTCACAGATGAGCTGAGCTCCTGGATACAGCAGTCATTTAAACACTACGTTACGCAAGAAGCTAAGCAACACTTCCACGACTATGACAAAAATGGTGATGGATTGGTGTCTTGGAAGGAGTACAACTTACAAATGTATGATCGTGTAATTGATTTTGATGAGAATACTGTCCTGGAGGATCAAGAAGAAGAATCATTTCGACAGGTAAAATGTTTTAGCATCAGTTTCTGAAAGCTGCTGGCAAAAGGAAACAATATTTGTTTATTGTGATGGAACAAGATGGGTAGAGGAACTGTAGCAGCTGGCACATGTTTTAACACTTTCATTATTCTGAGATAGGGGAGTAATTAAAGGAAAGTAATGGAGTATTAAACCTGCTACCAGCAGAACACAGAACGAAATTGTGCCTCGTGAATATATTTTGCCAGCTGAGTGGAGCATCAGCCTACACAGAGCAGAGTCACCAGCAAACTGCTTAAAACAGGATGGCACCCTGTTAAATGAGGTCTGTAGCCTAACCAGTGTCCTGCCTATAGCTTGGGCCAGGAGCACATGTTGGAGTCAAAGGAAGCCTTGTACTTCCTTACCTCCTCACTGCACTCTTTTATCCACTGGTCATTCATTTCTGAAGTGCATACTCTGGGGTATTTATACTGCATATGCTTTTCAACTTTTCTGTCTGCTAGAGAGCCAGAGGGAAAGCAGTAGCAATTTGGGCCTTTTGATCCATCAAAATGCAACCCTGGTAGATAAAACTGATGAATAAACAATAGAAGTTACAGATTAAACTCATACATGCAAATAAATACTTAAGAATGACCAGGAAAGTGGCAAGAGAGGCAGGGAGGGAATTCACCAAGAGTCTTTGGTAGCAAAACTTGTTTAAGTTATGCTTTTGTAAGTACATGTATATGTTTCCTCAGAGCGAATGAGTGAGTCTGTAGGCTAGCCTGGCCTCAGTTTTTGGTGGCTACTTTTATTAAAGCAGTAGCTATGCATATACTGTTGACAGAAATGAAGTTGAAATAGACAGTAAGCAACAGATTTTATACAGTGAAAGCAAACTGTAAAGCTCTGGAGGTCACTTAGTCACATAGCTTTAAAATAAAACAAGATTCAAGATTTTGAATGGAACTTCCCACCAAAATATTGACCCTGTGTTTGAAATGTTGCCATTGTACTGTGCTGAGATAGAAGTCCTGGTTACTTACTTATGCTGTATTTTGTGGTGATTGCTGGCAAGGTTTTCCTGCTTGCTGACTTCTACTGATAGTGGCAAAAGCAAAATCATCAGCATTGCATCTGCATCGTGTATCAGCCAGCTGTCTTTGGCTGTACTTTTGAAAATTAGAGATTGTGCTGCAGTTACAATGGAAAATTGGACAATTCCTGATTTAGAACTGACATCAAGTAAACGTATGAATTCACCAGAAGGTGGCAGACTTGTTTGTCACTTCTCAAAAAAGCCCTGGAAACAGACTTTTTCCATCAGTAGCTGAAGTTGATTTTGCAGCTTTTAAAGTGCAAGCTTAACATCACCTCCCAGGGAAACTGGCCCAGTTTACCATACCAGGAAGCCCCACGCTCTTTCATAGCCCAGAGCCTGGCTCCAAACAGCAACCTCTTGACTTAACTCTATGCCCTCAATGCCCTGCAAAGGGTTTAAACCTTTAGGAAAAGCCACTAGTCAAGGTACATTTACTAAAGCAAGGCTATTAAGTGGTCATCTGGGGAGACATAAAGTCCCAAGTTGAAATGGTGCCTTCTTACTGCCATTGTCAGTGATGGAGTGGAACGACTGATTATATTCCTTTGAAATTCATGTTTGCAAGTCACTTGGTCTCTGATTTTTGTCAATATGCCCTTGTTCATATTTGGTCCTTCTCTTCATCACATGATTTCTTTGATCATTAGTCAGGTGTCTGGTGGATTTTGATTTTCATTGTCTTAGCTATGGTAATTGCCTTCGATAATTGCCCAACTATATACATGTATTTTTTGGATGCCTGTTTCAAATAGCCACAGTCATCACAAGACTCAACTATGAAGAATATTAACCCACTTTTGTACTTACAGAACGTGGGTATTCTGAAGGCCAGCAGGTTGCCCACGAGCCAGCAGTGTGCCCTTGTGGCCAAAAAGGCCAGTGGTATCCTGGGGTACATTAAAAAGAGCACGGCCAGCAGGTCGAGGGAGGTGATCCTCCCCTCTGTTCTGCCCAATTGAGGCCACATCTGGAACACCGTGTCCAGTTCTGGGCTTCCCAGATCAAGGCAGGCAGAGAACTGCTGGAGGGTGTCCAATGGAGAGCCACAGGGATGGCTGGGGGCTTGGAACATCTCCCTAGGGAGGAAAGGCCAAGGGGTTCAGCCTGACAAAGGAAGGGCTAGGGGGTGTTTTATCAGTGCTTATCAATATGTGATGGGCAGGAGTCAAGCGGATGGGGCCAGGCTCTTTTTGGTGGTGCCCAGCAACAGGAGAAAGGGCAATGGGCATGAATTGGAACTCAGGAAGTCCCATACACTTGTAAGAAAGATATTCTTTACTTTGAGAGTGACAGAGCAGTGGCACAGGCTGCCCAGAGGTGGTGGACTCCCCTTCTCTGGAGATATTCAAAACCTACCTGGTTGCTTTCCTGTGTAACCCACTCTAGGGAGCCTGCTTTAGCAAGGGCTTGGACTGGACAATTTCCAGAGGTCCCTTCCAAGCCCTACAATTCTGTGATTCTATTTAACTCTCAGTTAAGGTCAGCTTTCCTTTAAAAATTCAATTAATTGTTATGCAGACTAGGCATGCTCTTAAAGTTTGTTAAATCTGCTCTTTAGGAATCAGATTCGCCTAACTGTGAGGAAAAAAAAAAGTCAATAAATAGGATGGAAACTAAAAAGTATGACATAAAATGGTTACTTTGAAAGTACTTGTGATCTGCAGCTTGGTGGCCACTGCCTTCTCCAGATCAAAGTGACACTGGGAGCACAGTACACTTACTCATGAGATTCCAAGATTTTCACAGCTCGCAACACACACATTTTGACCAGGGATTTATTATCCCTGATTTGGGTCTTTATTTTGTCTGAAGAGAGTGTATGGAACGACACAAGCAGAAAGAAGGAAGTCTTTGCACATTTAGAGTACAGAAAAAGGAGGTGTGAGGCATTCAGAAATAGTGATTTGCCTGTTTATGGTGGGTAGTGTTTATTTTAAGGGGGCGTGCTAAAACTTACTGTGGTTTTGAGAAATATCTTAGCTTTGAAATAAGTTGATGGCATGGGCAACAGTCTTGTACAGTCTGTCTCATCCTTCAGCACTTAAAATGGCTTCAGAAAATTCAGTTTATATATATGCTGTTTCAAGAACCACGAACTGCCTTGATGTAAATGAGATATGAATTCAGAAAGTTCAATGGCCTTAAATGCAAGTGTTAGAATTTGTGATGGTTGCTGTAACAGTCATTGTACTCCACTGGGTTAGTTTGGGAAGTGGTGACTTGAAGAAGAGGAAACATATAAAGGCAAGGTCTTCTCATTATCTCTCTTTAATGATTGGGGAGCCTTGGCTGAGCGTGTTTCAAATGTCAAAAACTGGAAAGAAAAAGATTTTAATAAATTCCTAAAACAGAACCCCCTCAATTAAAGGTGCAGTTCTCACTGCTTTGGATACGCTCTTCTTAGTGAAATATAACATCACTGTAATACAAGTAGGTAATGTGAAACAATTAATATTCTAATGAGTTTACAGACAGCTACTATAATGTTTTTCCTTTTCATTAAGCACTCTAACTAAATCTCTTTTCTAAGCTTCATTTAAAGGAGAAAAAGCGTTTTGAAAAAGCTAACAGGGATGATGATCCTGATCTAAATGTGGATGAATTTATCGCTTTTGAACATCCTGAAGAAGTGGAGTATATGATGGTAAGATGTGCAAGGAAATCTTCACTGCCCTGCGTGTTTAGGGGCAATGCCTTTTTGAAGCCCCAGGACTACAGGAGGCTGCTTTTTTTTTGAGCAGCTGTGCATATTGCTGTGCCAGACCAAGGGAAAGATGAGGTGGATTCAGTGCTGGAGTTCAGCAGCAGCAGCTCAGCATTTCTCTTGAAGATCTATTTCAAGAACTGGTACTGCACAACGTCCCAAACTTTAGGAGTTAGTCTGACGTGGCTATCTCTAAAACTGCTAAGTTAGAAATAGATCAGTAATATTTCAGCTTGAAGAAGTTTCAGGCCCAGTTCAGAGTTAAAAAGTAAAGTTAGAGGAGCTTAAAATAAACCTTTTTTGGTGCAGGAAAAGCACAGGTGCCAGACATTCATACCTTGATCCAAGGGAAACAGTGCACTTTGGTGCTGATCACACGTTTCATCACTGCTGTGACTGCTGGTGTCGTTCCAGCCCGTGCCCACAGCTGACCCCACTTAGAAGCACGTTGGTGCTTTGCTGCTCCTTCAGCTCTGCCTGTCCAGTGCTGCACAGCTTCAAGCCAGGAGGAGCTCCTTGCAAACACAGCTTCAGTTTGTGTTGGCATAACCCTTGATTGTGAACAAACAAGAGCAACTACAAGAACAGGCATGCTGACCTCACTGGGAAACAAAGCACTAAGAGAATAAACATTTTTTCCAGCACCTTCAAACACTTCAGTACTGCAAAAAAGCAAATATATTGAAGGAAAAAAGAAAAGAGAAACGAGGTAATACAGATTTGTGCAAATTAATGGTTTTAGCTAGTGGAATTGTTTTGAATTATGTTGAAGGATTCCAGCTCAATCCACACCCTGCACATTTAATATCCTGAACTAAGAATGACCTGTTTTGTTGCACAGAACCAATTATTTGCACTGGTCTTATAGAACAGAGAAGCAGATTCAAAATGACTGTCTCTTTAGTTTCAAGGCTTCATTATAGCACTTAAATGATTGATTGCTTTTTCTCTTGATTGCAAGACTGATCAATTGGTGTTTTTCTTTTTGTTTGCATGTATGCAAAAGGACTTTGTCACTGAGGAGGCTTTAGAAGAACACGATAAAGATGGTGATGGATTTGTGAGCCTGGAAGAATTCCTTGGTGATTACAGAAGAGACCCAAGTAAGGAAAAGGGGTGGGGTTGAACAAAAGCTTTTTGAATGGGATGAATTGTATGCATCTTTGTTTCCAGCTGTTAGTACCTCCACCTGCAGGCTCTGAGTAACATTACCCTGTCTTTCAGAGTAGCTCAATTTCCTGTACTGTGCATAGCCAGGCATTATTTTAGCCTGTTTTGTGAGTATTCAGCAGAAGTTTGTTTGCAGCCCACTGTTTCCTCGTAGGTTACTTCTTCTCCCAAAGACTTAAGCATAAAATTCTCATCACTAGGTAGGTAGCTAAAATCAACTGCAGTTCTGCTAACTGAATGCATCTGGGAAGCCAGCTGGCATGAATGTAAGGTTAGCTGTTTCTGGTGTGGAGTTTATGACTGCTTTTCTCTAGGTGTGCTGTTAATAGATAAATATTTATATTCTGTCTTTGGCTTCTGACAAGATATGTCAAAAACCTCCTCTGGTTTCAAAAAGATGAGCAACTAGATGGGGAAGAATGCATGGACCTAAAGAATCCTAATTCTGAAGTGGTGGTTTTCCTGTGTTATTTTTGTTTGTTTGGGTTGGTTGGTTGGTTGCTTTTTTAATCTTTTTCATGCTCTGACTTGAAAAAAACTTTTCCAAGCCTGAATCTCTAAAATTGTTAGAAAGGAGTGAAATCAGTGCTTGGGTCCTTGCAGTAACAGAGAAGATACAATCACACTGCCATTATTATTTTGAAATCAAGGCTTCAGACCCAGCTATAATGTAGACACTTGTTCAGCTTTCCTCCAGGTGACCACCTCTTCACTTCCATGGTGTTTAGGAGCACTTGTGCACAGTGCTCATCAGTGATGAGTGGTCAGTTTGATGAACAGCTTCTTAATTTCTTGGAAGAGTTTGAGACAAGTTTAAAACAACTGGCTAGGTTTCAGGATGTGGTGTAAGCTCATGGGGTAAATATGAAACAGGAATACAAATAAATAAATACAAATAAAGAAAAGAAGTAATTCGAGCTGTTTTGAATACATTCCAAGTATTTTAGGGAAAAAAAACAAGGGAACTATTTTGAAAGCTTGCAGCATTGTCCCAGGTCTGATGGGCCTGCACTAATTAAGATCTTTGCCCCTTTGCTGGCTGTCACAGATGAACCTCTCTGGATGTAAATGCAGGGCAACAGAATGTTATTCAAAACGTGGTATAAACGTGGTGTAGCCTTACAAGTTTTGTCATCATATGCTCTGCACAACGCCAGTTCTCTACCTGTTTTTGGGGCACTTGTTGATTTAAAGCCTTTTCCTGTTTTCCTCCATCCGTTGTGTGCTGAGCTGACCGATGTCTGAGGACAGCTGTGCTGCCCACAGTGCTGTCGTGTGATGCTGTTAGCACAGCATTTGTGATTTGGTTGCTCTACAAGAAGAAGAGAGTAATCTTAACCCAGTCAAAGCAAATAATGTAAAATTTCTCTGTCAGCCACTTTCACTTTTTCCTAGACTTGTTGGATCTCCCAGTAAGTTCTCTATGTAGTGTGCTTTCTCTGCTCTCAATTTGGGTGACTGTGGAGATGCTAGGCAGCTCAGTTGATGTAATGTATGACTTTAATGTCCGTGATATAGGCTGGTTCAGCTGCAGTTTTACTGTCTCAATGTCACTTTAGCTTTAAATTATGAATCTGTACAAGTTGGGGAGAGCTTATGTGTAGGCAGATGCATTTATTAACTATACTGGGACTGGTCTGTAAGGTTTGTCTTGTTTAGTGAAATCACTTTTATGTTATGTCTTATGAGACTAAGTTCACTTGTTTTGCCTAGTAGAAGAGGTGAACGCATTGATTTCAAGGAAAATAGAGGATTTAAACTTAACAAGTGTTTCTCACTAGCTGCCAAGGAAGATCCAGAATGGATACTTGTTGAGAAGGATCGATTTGTGAATGACTACGACAAGGATAATGATGGGAAACTCAACCCTCAAGAGCTGTTATCCTGGATAGTGCCCAATAACCAGGGGATTGCACAAGAGGAGGTGGGCATTTTGACTGGTTCAGTAATTACTGCTTGGAATTTATTTAGTGCAGTAGTATTCTGAAGGTATCACAAGGTAGTGGTACATCAAAGTGATGGATAAATTCAAGTTTACAGTACCTTAGTAGTTGAGAAAGAATGCTTAGTAGATCTTTGCATAGATTCTTTGAACCTGTTTTTCCAGTTTGGCAAAGAGTGTTGATCCCTGCACTGGATAAGGCAAATGTGAAGTTCCTATCGATTGTATAATGTTTGTAAATGAACAAATTTACAAATTCTACGTGTTCAAATAGTTTACCTGGTTTGACTTAAGAACTCAGTATTTAAAACAGTCATTTTGAAGTTATCAGAGGTAAAACTAATGAAGTACACAAATAAAAGAAGCTGTTATATGCAGCATAATTTTGAAAACAAAAATTGATCATTCTTCTAACTTGTTAAATTGCCATAATTAGTACAAAATTTATATAAAATCTTGTATTTATATAAGAAAATAGAAGTATTGTATGTTTCGAGAGGCTGTAATGCAAACTTTCGTAATATAATTAAAAGGGTTTAATCAGCAGTAGAATACCATAATAGGTTTAAGTGGATTCTCATTTTAATCATCTGTTTTGCTTGTAGCAGGCAGTAGAAGCCCTGAGTGTTCCCAGCCAGCCTCTTCTAGTGAATAGACTTCATAGTTACTGACTGCAGTAGAGAGGGTGTCTGCCCTTCTGCTGCAGACTTTTTATCTTAATTTGTGCTGGTCCTTTGCACAGAAAGATTTTGGTGTTCTAAATGGCAGAAACAACAGCCAGGTCCTCCTGTACCTCCAAAATGACTACAGTCAGGAGGTGCTTTGTACTGAACAGCATTGAACTGGGTTGGGACATGCTCATTTACTGATGTCCCACCTCCTTCTATTTTAGTTCTGCTGATTACAGAAAAACCAACTCAGCAGGCAGTGCTGGCTGCTCACGTACCTCGCTTTGCAGGAAGCTACGCTGTGAAATTGCACGAGCACTATTTTTGTCAATGTGGGTCTGTAAGCTTGTGTGCTGACTTGTTTCGGCATCTCACCCGTGAGGGGGACTGCAAGGAAGGCTGTGATGTATCTCACAGAATCACCAAAGTTGACCTTCAAGATCACCCAGTTCACCCATCCACCTATCAGCAACAGTTCTCACTAAAGCTTGTTCCTCAACAAAATCCAGTTGTTCCTTGAGCACCTCCAGGGTCGGTGACTCCACCACCTCCCTGGGCACCCATTCCAGTGCCTGTCCACTCTTTCAGAAAAGCAGTATTTCCTAACATCCAGCCTAAATCTCCCCTGGCGCAGCTTGAAGCCATTCCCTCTATTCTATCACTGTTACACGAGAGGAGAGGCTGACCCCCAGCTCACTGCAACCTCCATTCAGGTAGTTATAGAGAGCAGTAAGGTCTCCCCTGCCTCGTTTGATTGTTTCTCTAACGTGCTGGGTTTTTTTCTCCAGTTAATGTAAGGGCTAACAAAGTCACCTATCCTAAACAGAAGGTAGCCTTGTCTTAAGCCATAAACTGCTGGTTATGAATATTACCGTTTGGTTTTGGCATTTCAAACTGGCTTGAGAAATCAGGTAGCTAAATAACAGAAAAAAAGAAAACACTGTATACTCAATTTCATAGAATCACAGAATTGTAGGGGTTGGAAGGGACCTCCAGAGATCATCGAGTCCAACCCCTCAATCTCATCGAATGGTTAGTTGGGAAGGGACCTTTGTGGCTCCCCAGCCCCTTCTGCTGCAGGCTGCCTGCCCCACAGCTCATGCTGCCAGGGCCCATCCAGGGCCTTGGGCACCTCCAGGGATGGAGCAACTGCAGTGGAAGGACCCTGGCCGTGTTCAAGAAGTGTTCAGATGTTGTACTGAGGGACGTGGTGTAGAGGTGGATGGTTGGACTGGGTGATCTGGGAGATCTTTTCCAACCTCGGTGATTCTGTGATTCTATATGGAGCCAAACTGATCAGGAAAAGTAGAAATGGAAGGATACTCTAAATGACTGTGTTTATAGATGGTTAGCAAGTAAAACCAAAGCCCATTTCAGACTAGGAGTTCCTCCACTACTCAGAACTAACAGTTGCCTTAGATCTGCTGTACTAGCTTGTTAGCTTTGAGCTATGAAATTCTTGTGAATATGATATAACTAAAATGCTCTGCATTTCTTGTTTTACTGCTGAATTTCCCTCCTTCTATAACACAAAAGCAAGCAAAAAACTGAAAACTGTTTTAACATGCAGTTTCATTTGACATTATTGTGATTTAAAGTTCTGCTGGACTTTTTTTTTCTCCCAAAAAGCAAGCTTTTGCTTTCAGGAAATGAGGGAAAGCTTATTGCTATCCAGAGTTGATGTTTCTACACGCGGATGGCGTATATCATCCGTTGTTGAAGCTATTAGACCTCTTTCATAGTAGACATCAAATACTTTCCAGCTAAATATTAACCATAGATTACAGTTACACAGCTGTTCTTGCAAGTCATATGTACAGGAGATCTAGATGAAAATCTCTACCCTACCCTTTTTTTATTTTAAATACGTATGTACAGATGATGGAGAAGTGAGTCTCCTTAGGATCAAGACATGAAAAACAGCACAGCAGACAGAGTGAGTTGAAAGCAACAGTGCCTAGAGCTGAAACAGAGCTGAAAAAGAGGTGTATCTAGTCAGACATGGGGCAAAAACGTGACTGAGAGAGAGCTGGCACACACCTGTGAAAGAGGATGCTCAGCAGATCCTAGCTGAGCTCCTGCACACCCAGCACTTCCTCCTGCAGCTGCCTACCTGTGGTCGAATGCCCAGGAGCAGTGTGACAGCTGTTCTCTAACTGAGCTCCTGGGCTCGGTGAATTGACAGTGAGCTTAGAGATTTCAGACTTTGCCTCTGAACAAAAAGAGCAAAGGGAGACAAACTGAGGAAAGACAGGTTTATAAATGCTCGTATCTATGAACTCAGTGCACGCTGTTCCATTTATTTCTAGGCTCTTCACCTGATTGAAGAAATGGATCTGAATGATGATAAAAAGCTTTCTGAGGCAGAAATCCTTAAGAACCAGGATTTGTTTCTTAACAGCGAAGCCACCGATTACGGCAGGCAGCTTCACGACGAACGTTTCTACCACGAAGAACTTTAGATTATTTATTTTGTAATCTGTTTTTCTTCCCTTCCTTTCATTGGGAGCCTTTGTTGAATGCACTCACTTTTCAGCTTTGTTGGAAGTTTTGTGCTGTAATTACAATAGAATAACATTTGTGTAAATACTTGGCACTCAGAATTCAATTGCCTTCCTGCAGACATCCTTAGGCCTCTTCCCGCCTTCAAAATTAATCTTAAATACTTATTCCAAAATTACATAGCAATGGGAAGGAAATTAGTTAAGGTATAGTACTGCATTGTGCAGGGCTGTGTGACTACACTTCAAATAAATGGAGAATCTAAATGGTTGTGAAGGAATTCAAAACAGAAAATGAGACTACTATTTTTTCTAATCAGTTTAATTAGGGAGGAGAGCAGAGAAGATAGAGGGAAGAAGTTCAGAGTGAGTATTAACTGTGTTTTATTTAATACGTTTGGAGAAACACTTAGGTTAAATGCCTCAATTGTTTAAGAGGTTTCTACTTATTGTTAAATGGTTCCTATAATGTGTTTTACTGTATTACAAAAAGGAAAAACCCGCTATTTTTACATCTACAGACAATAATTGTTTTTATGTACAGTTCTACAACACTGGCAATATGATGGTATTTTACATTGTCAAGAACTTCTTCATTTGTTGGATTAAAACCAAAAAAAATTGCACCTTTCTGTGTTTTGTGCACTTATTACATACTGTGGGTCATCTGCAGCAGCTCCTTGAAACGTGAGCAATGTGCAGTACTGTATTGAATCATAGAATGGCCTGGGTTGAAAAGGAGCACAATGATCACCTACTTCCAACCCCCTGCTGTGTGCAGGTCGCCAACCAGCAGCCCAGGCTGCCCAGAGCCACATCCAGCCTGGCCTTGAATGCCTGCAGGGATGGGGCATCCACAGCCTCCTTGGGCAGCCTGTTGCAGTGCCTCACCACCTTCTGTGTGAAAAACTTCCTCCTAAAGTTGATTAGGGAGTGATCAGCTCCTCCTAATTGATTTGGGAATGATGCCTGAACGCTGCTTGGAATACTGAGAGCATCTCCACTACACCACGTGAAGGTAGCATTGTGCATTCCCTGGCAGCGTTCTTAGGTTTTGTATGCTGAAGGGATATTATCAGATCTAGATGCCAAAAACCCCTAAGTTTGTAGTTAGCATTTTCAGAACATGCTTGCAAAAGTAGCGTGGTGGTGGTTTGGGTTTTTTTTTTGTTTGTTTAAATTTGGGATAGAGGGAAATCTAAACCACTGAGACACTGCACAACAGTTGTAGTAGTAATATCAAAAAATCAACCTCAGCTGAAATCTCCACCCTTGTCATTCACAAAAGTGAGTACTGTTCTGTTTGTGATTACTTGAAATAACCCAGAAGTTTTATAGCATGACAGATTCAGTTTAGGAAAGCACATACATTCACTTTTCATCCCCTAGGAAGTCACTGGAATCAGCTGAGTGCTCTGAACAGAGCCTAGCAGAATAGACTGGAATTTTGAGACAAATCTTAACCAATTCAACTTCACACTTGGTAACCAGCTTGAAAACAGCTCCCAAAGGGAGGAGATAAAAAGTGCCTCTATGGTTGGCTCTTGGTCACAGCTCAGAGTCGTTTGTTGGGTTGCAGTCACTTGCAAAATTGGGAATAGGAAGAAGTTGCAGCAAGACCAGTAGAATACCAAAGACCACACAATTCATAGAGCTCACATCTCAGAATCTGTGCCAAACACCCAATTTAGTGCTCATTTCAGTCTTATTATTAGGTATTATTAGAGCTTAGCTCACTGTGTGCTGGGAAGAGAGCTGCAGCCTTCCCAAATATGTAGCTCTTAATCTAATTTTATGGACGTAGAAAAGCAGTCCTTCAAAAGGAGACGATGTAATTGTTAATAAACTGTGATGTGGATTTGGAGAAGCGCGAAGCTCAGCCCTGTAACGCTGAATGTTTCAGTAATTCCTAGAGTAAATTAATGCTGACTTCTTTTGATTTCTGATAATGGCTTCAAAATCGCACTTCTTTAAGAAGGAAAGCCTAACAGTGCTGCACAATCCAAAAAAGATTTCTGGCTTTTGATAATTTAATCTAGCACCTAGGTTGGCCAAAGCAAACAGGCACCGCTTCTGTTCACCAGTGCCCACCCAGACAACACAGAAGTGATGGGGAAGCTGCTCCGCTGTGCCTGGGGGGAAGCTTGTCCCTCACCTAGCATGTCTGAACTGTGCTTCCCCCTGCCAGCTCTTACAGAAGGATTTGCACAGTATTTGAGCTTTAGAAGTGACCACATGAGCTCAAACATGGAGACAAAGGAGTGTCTCTTGTGCCATTGCTCTGGCAGGTGCAGCTGATGCTTTGTTTTGGAGAAGCCTCCATGTAGGGCATCCTGCAGCTGAGCAGACCTCCAAAAGACACACTGAACTATCCCCTCCTCCTTACACATCTCTGTGCCTACTCCAGCAACGCCTGGAGAAAGACAGAAAAGAAAAAATAAAAATGGGATGGCTCTTGTCTGCTTTCTTAGGGCCATAGTATCAGCATTCAGTGTTTCTGCCTGTCTTGCCCTCTTTTCTCATTTTCTCTCCAATCACAAACCTCACCAGACAAAACTGAGTTATTCTGGAAGCTGAGAGCAGTCAGCTGCGTTTCACTCCAGCATCCCCTTCTAAAGACTCAGAGCAGATCTGATCGACCTGCTGCATGACTTCTGCCTGCACAACTTCTAGGGGTCTGGTTCAGGCTGTGGTCAGATGGGATAGCTCTAAACAATGGACCAAAAGAAAAACACACATGAAACCACAAGAATTCAGTCCGCAAAGCAGAATCCTTTATGCTGCATAAAAGCTACTTGCATGGATGTGTGCTGCAACCCCTCTGAATGCTGCTGGTGTGCAGGCATAAGGAAAGGCTCACCAAGAGTATTATTTTACTGGCCTATCTGATCTAAATGAAGATACTGAAAAAGCAATCCACAAGGAACGCACTGCAAATAATTGAAAAGCACAATTGTTTTGAGAAAGCTAGTAATGATCTTTTCAATTTTAACGACAGCAGAAAAACAAGACGGAGCAGTGTTAAATATTAGGCATAACCACTGACAGAGCTGGCCTGTGATCCACCTGATGAGGATTTCTGGCACTGCAGGATTACAAGCAGCACAAATGTTGGTACCAGTCCTCTGCTCTCCTTCCTAGCTTATCATGAGAGGAGTATGAGAGACAGAGCTCAAGGATTGCTGTCATTCCTGAGCGCCTGACGGGGTCGTGGGTTCTGCATTTCTACTCAACAAAAAATACTGGGGATGTTTCTAAGTGAGAAAATATACAGAAGATTTGCTAGATATGCCAAAGGAACCTTACGTAGTGCTTCTCATGATACTAAACATCTCTACGTATTACATATTACTTAGAACCCCTCACACTTTTCTGTTTGCAGGGCACTTAGCATCAAGCATCTCCAGCAAATGCTGTGGTTACAGAGCACAAGAAGTGCTTCATTCTGTGTTCAACACAATGAAAAAGGAGCATCGGGTATAAAATTCCAACCAGTAAGCATACTGGAGGCCTTCTTCTCCATGCATAGCACTCATCCAATCACCTTGTCCCTAAAAAGGATGATCAAATCACTCCGGCTTCCTAAATGTTAGGGATACTCCCATGAAAACATACTGACAAGGACCAAAGCACAAGGAGTCACAGCCCTTCTCAGAGGCAGCACTCCAGCAGCTCCTGAGTGAGCCGTGTATCCCCACGTTGTGCTGGAATAAGAGCTCTGTGTGATGAAGGGCTTTTCAGCCAGACAGGCTCTGATTTGTCTAACTGCAGACGTATCATCGTTCTGCTGAAAGATCCATTCTAGTGGGCTGTTCATTTTTCAAGAGGATCTTTGTTTTCTGAAGCTTCTGTAGCTTCTCGTTTCTCCATTACCACTCCCATTGCTCTCTAAATGAAAAGATGAATAAGAAAGGCTCAAACCTCCATCCACCACAGCACAGAGGATCTCACTGACTGCCACAGGACTTGGGCTCCCAGGCATCTTGGTGAGCTCAGGCCCTGCTGCCCTGCCAGCACTTCCGTGCAGCTCAGGGCCTTTGGGTCGAGCTGAACTAAACACAACTAGCAAGCAGTCAACCTTCTTGGATGGCCAAAATGTTTGGTTGTTTTTTGCTTTTTGTTTCTTTTGCCTTCACTGGATGCATATTTCATGAACTCCAACAGAGCAAAGCTATCAACTTCAAAAGCTGTAATTTGGAAATAGGAAAGATGAGATTCCATCTTCGATAGACTGAGATAAAACATTCTTTAAAAGACTTTTTTTCTAACACATCAAGTGTCTTGCCCTCAAAACGTGTTTTCTTTCAGGCAATTATCACTTGTGAAAGAAACCTCTGCTCATTCCTCCTCAGCACCCCTGCAGGGAATCCTTGCATTTCTCCATCTCCATCCCTTGAGTTATGAACAAATTTTCCTGCCACTCATGACAATCAAAGAGGTTCCCAGCTCTGGCCTTTCACACTCTCTGTTCTGCCCTCTCCTGCCTGCATGCATTTCAATTTCCCTTTCTGCGTGTGTGATCCCTGCACCCTGCATTGCTTACCTTCAGGCCATCAAGAAGTAGATGTGCCAGTTCTATCTTCTAGCAGCCTGGCAGGACAAGTTGCTAACCAGGTGATCACAGAAAACTCCAGCCACACACACTGCTGCAGGTCTCTGCGCACATCTCAGCGCCCCACTGGAGCTCAACAGAGCTGAGACTTCCTGCCCAAGGACTGCCCCTGGGGAGCAGTAGGAGAGCTGGCAGAGCTGGGCATCACCAGCAGTGCTAATTAGGTACAGCTGTTAGCCCAGGTACGCTCTTGGTGTGGAAGGACATGTTTTTACATAGGCAACTAGAGTAGGAGCTTTTTCCTTTTACCTACTCCTTAAAAATATCAGCGAGTATTTTAAGATACAGAACCCCTAACACATCCCAGGGAGGTGGACAGGGACAACTGGACGTGTAGGAAAGGTATTTTGACGAGGGTGTCATGTAAGCATCAGACATGAGCGTTAATTACCTGCAGCTGCAGTGCAATAAAGCCTTTCCCTGATGTGGCTGCTTGCAGGTCTCTGTCTCAGTGCAGTGCTGGGTGTGGGCATGCTGACGGTTCACAGATGCACTTGTTTTGCTTCATTTCAGGTCTTTCTGCTAATAAACTCTTACATCTTTTACCACAAGTGTTTCTAGAGTTTGGGTTTTACTTCTAAATTTCACCTATCCTGCTTATTCATAGCAGCATTTACATAAGGGAGGCAAATCAGAGCCCTTCTCCATATGCACACATAGGTATCTCTGCACATGTGCTCAGACAACTGCACAACTGCAACGTCCTCACTTTAACCAGTCTTGAAAAGCATTTTCATTTGCAAAACAGATTTTTGCAGCTCCAGTTCCCATGCACAAATATAGGGGTCTCTGCCAGCCCCAGGAGGTGTGAGAGAAACGTGGCACACACGTACATTTCTTCCATTTCTTTTGCTTTGTTATTCTGTGTGAGACCACATCGTTACATGACGGTTTGACTCTGGTTTCCTCCCCAGCTTCTCTCTCTGTATTGTGCTGGCTTCCTTTGCGTTTTAATTGCTCTCTCCCCTCCTGTAGCTGATCAAAATCACATTGCTGAATTCTGCTTTCTTCCTTTTCTCTTTCTGCCAGCCGCTCGCATGCACACATGGCACAGACTGACATCACTTGACATCTCCGTGCTTCCTCATTTCAATATTAACTGTTTACCAGAAGAGAAACTGGTTTGGCGCTGGGTTGCTACGTTCACGCGTGCCTCTGTGTGTGAGCAAGAGCTTTTTTTCCCCTCTCTGTCCCTTCACAGCTACAGGTCATTACACCGAGCTGCCTGAAACTGCCTGATGCTATTTTTCACCAGCGTGACTTTAGAAGAGACAGCTGTGTGGATGTGCTCCCCTTTCTGCCTTGGCTGGGGCACAGGAACAACTGCAAAAAGCCGGTGCTGCTGCTGCCATCTGAGAGCCAACCTGCTGAAGGACCTTTGCCCTCCCCAGGCCGATCATAATGACACAGATGCAGTTTAAAGATGCATTTTGGGTAAGTGAGCGTTTCTGCCATGTTTCCTCCACTAAATACGTATGTATTTAAAACATTTTGTTAATACAGCTTGGCTCTGAATACAGTTTCAAGCCGACTTTATCCTAATTCTGTGCTTTAAATTCAGTTTGTTAAAAAAAAGAAATTTGTCTCTAAGCAAAAGCACACTGTTCAAGTGTGGGGTAGTAGGCCAGTGGAATCCCTTGCACAGCATCAACTAAGCCAGCCAGGTGCAAAGTGCTGCTGCTCACCCTCCTGGGGAGCCCAGGGCTGCTGCTGTGTGCCATAGGGCACGCACGGAACATCCAGCAGCACGGGGCAAAGGACCAGAAGTGGTGCTTGAGAACACAGCTGCTTCTGGAGTTAAGGAGAAAACCAGAAAAAAGGACCCCAAAGACATAAAGCCAAAACACTGCCAGGTTGGGTAAAGAGCAAGTTCAATAGTTTCTCCTGTCTAGGCAAACATTTTTCCAGCACCTGGTGCTGACTTGACATGAAGGCAGATGAAATCCTCCTGCCATTCCCTTATCAAGCTAAGTAGAACTGGTTCTTCACCGCCTGTTTGCTTTCTGTGCTTTCTTTCCATCCCCTCTTCCTGCAGGGTAAACCTTCTCCTGGTCTGAAGGAGCCAGGCAGATGGCTGTGGGGCCCTGCTTTCCTCCAGGCACCCCCAGCCCCAACTCTATAGGATTTAACCAGTTAAAAAAAACTGTAATGAGGAAATACAAATGTTCCTTTTGATGTTAACCCAAACTGTGCCAGGGCACACCCACACAAGGCTCTCCCTTACTCTTCTTTATGCAGTTACTAACTGCATGCTCAGATGCACAAAGTATGGCACAACCACAGCCCAGTGCAACTGCAGGAAATTCAGCTTTTGCATTTCTCGACGTCCTTCCACAAAGTGCAATCTGACTTTTAGAACCAATACATTTTGTGTATTTACTTTCTAGGATCTTGGTCTTTAGCTGGGATAAACCAGGCATGTCCCATGGGCTCAGCAGGGTGATTAACGCCACTCAGCAATCTGGCCAGGCCAGTTCTTTGTGGCTCCTCTTCCCCAAGCTTCACTCCTGGCCTTAGTCATGAATATCATCCTGGCTTGGCTTTGAAGCTACCATCTGCTTTAAAGGAAAGCGTCTTTGTTTTTAATATTGTTTGGCTTGAACATAATACTGCCAAGCTTGTTTAATTGGACTGAACTATATCCGGATATGCTATGGTAGTTTTAGCTGTGCAGTAATAACTCTTTTAAAAAGAAAACTTACAGGATATTGCACAACGTAGCAAAAGAGCACAGCTTGCCCCCAAAATCACAAGATCAGCAATTATTTTTGCATTCATAACGTTCTGCTGCGCCCGTTAAAGGAACGGAAATACATTTTCTCAGTTTGCCTCAGTGAGCAACTATCTGCTTTGTTCACTTTTGCCATCAACTGAGACAGCCCTCATGGTTAAAACCCAAGAAGTACCGTCATGTCACAGCCGTACCTGCCTTCATCTCCGAGACCTGTCTAAAGGCATGGCTGCACTCTCCCCCTGGAATTCAACATCTCTGCTCTTACCATCAGCAAGCTTTTGGCCAGGCAGTTCCTTCAGTAGCTACAGCACTGTGAAATACTTACACAATTCCCTGCAACAACACATCTTCCTCAACCAGAACAGAAAGAACACCATTCATTCTGCTGCAAAGTCCCTCCATCTTCCTAGGCTGTGCTGTGTTTCAGGAACATGCAAACTTTTCCTCATTGCTCATCTCATTTTTATCCTCGCTTTTTGCCTATCAAATGTGGCAGTGCCAGGACTATGCTAAAAGTTTCCTATTTCTGCTATTTTTTTTATTGTCTGTGTAACCACAGCCTGGGCTAAAACCACTCTGCTTTTATTACTCTTTTTGTTTTGGTATCTTCCACACACGCTGGTTTAATGGTTTAAAAGAAAGTTGCTTAAAACCCCCACTGAGATGCACTCCTTTGTAATAGTTTCCTATCCTCAGACAATACTTTTTGGAAAACATTAATAAGAAGAAAAGACAAATCAGTTTTGATAGTAGGCAATTGCTCAAGGCATTAATATTCTCACTGTCCCATTGTATGAATGCAAGCGATGTTACCTGTGTAATCACATTAGGTGGGCAGGTAAATTCCCTGCTAATGGCCTCTGCTTCCACCTGAATTTCACATTAACAGGATTATATCAATAGGAGGGATCTGAGCAATATTCAATTTTTGTTACAAAAACCCATTTACCCGAAGGGAAAGTCTTTCCCTTTTCTTTCTTGATCTCCTTCTACGTCCTTGTACTCATTTGATGTTCCACCAGAATTCCCATTGTGGCCTTTTCCTTCAATTTATATTTTCTCTGCCACGCTGCTCCGCAGCAGCCTGGTGAGACGTGGCCATTCCTGGCCACTCAGCAGCATCATTCTGGCTGCAGAATTCTGTATCTACAAAACACTGTGATCAGACGCTGCAGCACTGGGAGCCATGTAGGTGCTTAAGACAAGCCTGAGATAGACAAAGATCTTTGAAAATCTTTCTTGTTTGGCTTTAGATTATTGTCTACACTGGGTTTAAAGCAAAAATCTGCCTCATACGTGAGGCTCTCGCCTGCTGCCACAGATTTCTCACGTAACACTAAATGCCCAAACAGAAGTAATCTCTTTCATAAATAATTTTACTTCTTGTGAGCACTTACCCTATGAAATGACTATAAAAGATACATTATGTGTCACAGCAGGACTATTTTCTGGACTTACTCGACAATATACCCAAGAAATCCTAATCACAGTTTCGCCCTAGGATGCCTCTTTTAGACCAGGTGCCACCTTTCCTGCAGAGGCTGTTACACCTTGTGGAGCTGCTTTCTGAAATGGGTTTGGACAGACACCAAACCTTCTGTGCTGGCATCTCAGCTCCACAGGTGGGCCCCCCCAGCTTCCATTTGGATGGGAGTGGATTGTACTGGTTGTAGCTGTATTTACAGACACGAGGCAAACCAAAATAATTAATCTCACCGCACACTGTAGAGCAGGCAAGCTCCACTGTCAGTACGTCCTGCAACTCTCTGCACTACAGAAAGTGTGACTAGAGGCAGACTTATGGTCACATCCCTGTGCTGACAGCAGCCCTGCTTACAGCCAGCACATGCCCATGTTGGTGGATGTGAGCAGAAATGGGGAACAAAATGAGAACCAGCTTGGAGAAGTCAGACTGACTGGCCAGCTGAATGCCTGTGTTTGTTGTGAGGTCAACTTCATCTCCATGGAAGATACTGCCCTATTCCCCTTCTCTGTGTTATTTCTCTCTGTATTCTTCCATAGTTTCCACTGTGGCCAAAATGCTTTACTCACTAAGGCAACAAGAAGCACCCTGGGGAGGGGGGTTGCAGTCTCAGAACAGTCACTGAAACCACAAGAAATCACAAGAATCCTTGCTTACTCGCGGCTGTGGAAATACTGATGTTCCAGGAAACACTTCTAAGCAGAGCACAACAATTAAAATGAAACTCAAATGAACTGGTACTGATAGTGAGGCAAACACATTAACAGCTTCTTCCACCTCCCATATTCCTGGTACACTGCCTATGGGCCGTGCGAGGAACCAATGACAGCACATTCAGGGCAGTTCATTTCCTTGGTGATGAGCTGGAAATGAAGGACTGCAGTATTACTTCTGCAGCTTTTGGTTGTGTGCTCTGTCAGTTATGGCCTGAACATGGTATACCAGGCTTGAGCATCTTTCTGCAAGGGCAAAGGGTACCTGGGCAAGAGCTAAGTGCAGCACAAAGGCCTTGGAAGACTTTCTAGAGCAGGTAGATGAACGGGTTGGTGGAAAGCTCATTTTAGATCAAGTAAGTTCAGTAATTTCTAATTAAAAACAATTAGGTCTTTAGTGGTTACACTTTATTATTTTTTTCTGACGATCGTGCTGCAACTGAGGGTTGGGTGGTTCAGAATGGCCGATGGATGAAGTCACAATGATAATTTTGTTTGTATTTTTACAAAGGTATGTCCACTTTGATTTGATCTCTCCTGCTCTGCAAAAGTGGTTTGGTTTGGACACAGGGAAATGGGGGATTCTTATTTATGCTGACTTTAATTGTGGCATTGCTGTGTGTTTTAGATACAGAAAAGGTGACTCAAACTCTTTTCACTCTCATATACGTAGATATGTCTGATGAACACAGCATAGATCTAAAAGTATTTGTCACACGTCTTGAAACAGAGGCTGCAAATTGGAGCAGCGCTTCAAGCAGAGATCAAAGCAGCAGCCCTCAGGTTTGCTGAAGTAGGCTGAGGAGGTGAACAGCATGTCCAAATCCTCCTCTCTGCCAGGACTGGGCAGTTCATTACCCATCCCATCCCTCCCTCGAGACATGCACTGCCCGCTATGCATTGAGCAGTGGCATCAGTCTCCAAAATTTACACTCCCTGACCAGGGACACTGATCCTGTTTCCTCTGCGGGCACAATGGAAGACTGAATTTCAATCCACTTCTGATTATTTCATATTTGTATGGAAGGAAAATTAGGCTGCTTCATAAAGAGATCATTTTTTGATATTCGTCAGCTCCTCTGAGCTCAAAAAGAGCTCCATATTTTGCTTTCATGCCATGCTGCAGCAAGGTAGATTCTGGCTGGCAGATGGCAAATTAAGCACTTGTTTAATCTCCTGTTTAATCTAGGTTTTGTAATAAAACATTTCTCAGCAACCACACTTCCGTAACTTACAAAGTTCCCCATGTTGTTCAGTAGGAATGTGGGGGTTTGAGGCTGGGACGAGGTGACAGCTCAGGTCATGGCTCTGTGCTGAGGGCATCAAGGACAAGAAAAGAGAAAAAAAAAGATACTGAAAATGTGCATCCAGATCCCAACAGCATCTCAGTTCCCTAAAGAATTGCTCCTTTACTATAAATGGAGTTCAGTGCCTCTTCAGTGGGGTGAGGAAATGTCCCTGTTCAAGGCTAAGGAATTGAAAAATTCCCTGGCTCTTTTGGTGC